AGATGTTTGCAATTAAATCAATGAATATATTGTTAACTACTGTATATTAAACAAACATTTTTCACAAATTGTAGCACAAATGTGATATATTAATTAATTGATGTCATAATTATAAATTTTTGTCATATATTTAATGATATTTTTGCAAAATATAAAACTATAATAAGTGCAATATATAATTAAATGCATAATTATTATATATATATATAAATCGCATCAAATCTGATATTAATTGTCGCTAATTTATTTTACCGGAAAAAGTATACTAAAAATGTGTCAAAATATAGATATAATTTGTATTACAAATATCTTTTTATTTTTTTTTTATTTAAACAATAATTATAACATTTGGTGATATATGAATGTATGAATATATCAAATTATATATACTGTATAATATCAATATAATATATAATCAATTAACTATTTAAATACCATATGCTATATACAATAAATTTAACAATTATTGCTTACCAATTGGTCTCCAATTAATTAAAATATTTAAATAATACACTAATTGGTGAGTAAAACAATATATCAAATCATATAACATTAATTAAAATGTATATTAAAAAACAAACTCATTTTATAATTAAACTAAAAAATATATGCAAATATAAATCAATAAAAATATATAATTGTTATATAAATGTATAACAAGTTGTCAAATGTGTGGACAAGTGTGAGAAAAACGGAGCAAACATTTGATTCATTTGTTAGTATTAATAGTCATTTAAAATATAATATTATTAAATGCATTGAAAGTCAACACTTGATTATATAAATAGATATTCATATTATTCATACATTATTTCACTCTTTAATAGCATTCGAGTGTCGTTTATGTTTGTGTTGCTATGGAAACATTGCTTCTGTGCGTTCAATGGGTTTTCACTTTTCAAACGCAATGTTTAACAATAAGTGACAGTATATTCAAGTTTTACTGTATTTAACTATATTTGACTGTATATTATATAATAACATAAATTTACTGTTTATATAATTTTATATTACATTAGTATATGTTGTCCACAATGACAGTGGCGGAGACCGTTGTCATGACTTGTAATCTTTTATTATTGTGTTTTATGTTAATATAGGTTTGACTTATAATATATGCCACAACCTGTCAATTAATAATATAATAACTTTATGTACTTTATATGAAAATGTGTCCTAGCTCAAAATAATTGTTTTGCTGCAAAAAGTAGGTTATATACAGTATAAATATAATTAAAAATTTTAAATTGTAATAATTAAATAAAAGTTTTTTTTTTGAAATCTATTTGTTTGCAAAACTAATACTACTATTATTTCAATTATGAGAACTTTTTATTAATTTTTATTTAACTAATAAATATTTTGCATTTTATTGTTGCATAATGTTTAGCAAAATATTTATAAATATTTAATTTAAATAATACTTAATGAAATAAAATAATTGATATTGCTATATTAATTGTCAATTGTTTTTTTCATATTAATAATATCATTAAATTAAATATAAAAATTATATAATACTGTTTATTATTATAATTTATTAAGCATTTATTTGAATTTTAAATTATAAACTATTTTATTAATTATTAATACCTGTATAACTGCATATGCCTGAGGAATTATATCATATTATAATTTACAATAAATTATTATCAAATTATCTGTACTTTAAAATACAAATAATATATAAATTAAATGTGACATTAATTATGGTTATCATAAATATACGTTAGTTTTCATATGATTAATAGTCTAATATTAATTGATATGTAATCTAATAAACTAATGATACTAGTGTTATATAAATTTGACGTTAATATGTAAATTGAAATTGAAATTTATTGATACTGTATTTGCTATATAAATAAATAAAATGTATTATAAATAATTGTGAAATTAAATAAACATAAGTACTAAAAAAGCATAAAGTTTTTATTATTATTTTATAAATAGAATTTCAAATTGATTTTTTGATGTTATTACAGTTTTTTTTAAAGTAATTAAAATATCAAAAATGAGGTAAAATTTTATATAAATACTGTTTTCAACATTTTATATTTAATGACTAATTCACACGAGAATTTTTTAAAGATAATCTTTTAAATAATATTTTATTTTTGATAATATATTCAATAATTTTTTGTGATGCTCTCGACAGGGGTTCTCTTTTATCTATACCCACCCTATCTTTTGAGTCTATGTTTTATAATTTAACTTTTTTTAAAAAAAGTTATTTTAAAAATATCTTTTAAAAATACTGAAAATATTTCCTGAAAATAATAAAAGTTTTTATTGCTGAATACATTTTAAAAGATTATACAGTATTTTGTGTTCAATTATAATAACATTAAGAATAGCAAATGATGAGAATAGGGTTTATAAAAATATCTATTTTTAAATTGCAATCAACTAAAAAACATTAATGTCTTTATAATTAGTAAGTTTTTATTTGAAATTTCTATTATGTTTCAACTTTTTAAAGTTATGAATTATGTAACAAAAGCAAATATAATTAATGAAAAAGTATTTGTTAATTTTAATTAAGTGAAACTAAAGTATAATTTATTTTAGTTTAATTATATTACATTATGATAAACATTTTTATGTTTATACAATACTTATATTATCTAGAAAGCTTGGTATATAGTTTACATTATATTGATATAATAGTATTTCATATATATTTTTATTATGAAAATACATTATATAACATATACAGTACTTATTTTAAACTTATAAACACACACAAAGTCAATATATTTTACAGTTTAACCTGATTTTTATATCACGTTAAATCTTAGTATTATTTATGTATAATTAATTATAATTTTTTGAAGACAATTTATGTATAACATACATATAGTACTGTATATAGTATCACACTACATATACTTATCACAATGATTAATTTATTAATTTCAATACACTATAGTTTATATAGTCAAAATATAACTAAATTAATTACTATTAGATTTCAATAACTTACTAAAAACAAAATATGTTAATTTTAAAAATCTTTAATTAATATCTAAATTAATATTTGTTTTATGAAATTTACACAATAATACACATAAGAAATACTTCTATTATATTATTATCGTTATTTAAAATATATATAAATTATAGGTTATCTCTCTTATTATCTAACAGTATATCTTTATTCAATTATATTTCCATTATTATATGATTTATAACATGTGTTCATCAATAATGAAAAACGATTCAAATTTTTTATATTTGATTGATATTTATGGAGTATTGATCTCTAAATAATACAAAAAACTACTAAATGTTAAAATATTTATTAATTTGAATCAATTAATTAAAGTGAGTCACATTATCATATGATAATATCAATGTATCAATGCGTGTCTACCTGTGCTGTAATGACATTCCCTTTCTTAATGAGCAGATCTAAGAAAACCTAAGTTGACTACCTGTGCATTATCAGAAAATGGCTTAATATTAATCATGAAAACAAATCACAAAATAAAGAGCATTTTGCAGATTTATTCGCTATTTGGTATAATTATTTAATATTTTTTATAATTTTAAAATATAAGTTTCATATTTTTATAACAATTTATAAAATATATTTTTTAGATTTTCTGCTATTTATATACTATATATATAATATATATATATATATATATACCTGTATTTAGAAACAAAATTCTAAATATATCATTATATTAATTTCATATTATATATAGACTATATATAATATAGTACATTGATTTTACACACAAAACACTCATTAATTATTATTGATTATCACATTTCATCATATTTTGGGAAAATAAGTATTTTTCAGCATTTATTCAGCAAAAGAATCTATTAATTATAATAAGTATTTTTGATTATAGAAAATTCTCAACAATTTAACTATTAATAAAAATTGTGAATTCCCGGAATCGACCTCTAATTATTGATATATCTTTATATCGACTTATAATATAAAAGTTTATATTACAATAATATTATTTTATTAAATATCATTTTTAATTAATTTATTTTATTGATATCAATTTTTAAATAGATTTACATAGCAATTTAATATAGTGTATATATATAGTATCTACAATAATGCTATACATTTATATGTTGTTATTATTAGTTACTAAATTTAATATTTAAAAAATATTTCAATAATAAATTTATGAATAATAAATGATTAAATTATATAGTTATATTGATAATTGAATAAAACACATTATATTAATTAATATATATTTCATTTTAAACATTCAATAAATCCATTTTTATTTATTGCATCCAAAAATAATTTTAAATAAATTGAAACATTAAAATTGATTGTAAAATGTTTGTACTTTTTGAGTACTCTCTATTAAAATAGTAGTTATTTACGTAATAAATTAAGCTTTTATTTAAACGAATTGACAAATATTTAAATATAATATAAATAAAACAATTATTTTACAGAATATTCTCTCATTTATAACTTTTATCATTTATATATAAGTGCATGATATACAGTATTTATACATAAGCATTATATATATATATATATTTATACATAATATTCATAGTAATTATATTATTCAACTATAATACTGTATTTATATAGTATTTGTAAACTATTAAGTTTGTTATATATTTATGTATTTATATTATGTATAAAATGTTTTGATTATTATGCTGTTATAGCTAATATATAATTTTAATTTTTCATATAGCTACACTACTTTATTGAATAATAAGTTATGTCGTTTATTATTTGTATACCTAATCTATATTAAATAAATTAGTAAATTGTAAAATTATATTTAATCTAAGAAAAATACAAAATATACTTTAATGTAGAAAATATTGTTAATACTATCATATAATACTAAATTTATAAACAATTTTCAAAAACTATATAATACCTTAATTTTTAATAATATTAATAATAGTGAATAACAATATTATTAATACTAAATGTAAATAACAATTCAAAAGCTTAATAAAAAACAAAAAATAAAACCTGTTTTTACCTGTTATTTCATGTAGTTATGAAAAATAAAAATATAAGCTGTTTTTACATAACTGTAAATCAAATTAGTTTATAATTTAAATGTCTTATAATTAACAAATTTTTTGTTTAGATACTCAAATTGCTTGTATCACTTGGTGTGCGATTAAGCTTATAATCTGATGCCTCAGAGTCTGAATTAATGTCGATCTCATCCTCGTCCACAACAATCACTCCCTCTTCTTCGTCATCGTTATTATTATCACATTTGTCATCTTTGTTATTATTTTCGGGTTTACTTATGTTAAATACTGGTGCTGTTGACAAACTGTAACGATCTAAACAATTTATTAATTTATTAATAAATTAAGTTATTAATTGTCTATTGAATGGTTTATTCAATGGTCTAATACCTGATCGAAGTTTAGGTTTTAATTCTTGACTATTGGTGTCGTTGTCATTGTTTTTAATTATTATTTCTAATTTTTCATTACGTTTTTGTAAAGCATTGACACTATGTAAGAGTGCATCCCTTTCATCCTCACAGGCCCTGACCCTATGCTCTAAACGTTTGATTGTACTCATGTATGTATCGCATTGTGACTGTAATTGTAGACATTTGTTTTGATAGACATGTATCTGTGCTGTCAGCTCCTGGATATCATGTTTGTTGTCGTGGTTTTGGCTAACAAAAACTTCATCGTTTTGTTTTAAATTAACTTTAATATTACTATTGTTGTTGTTTTTGGACATATGAACCAACTCTTCCTGAAATACCCGATACTCGACTTCATAGATCTCCAGCTGTTTCTTAATATTTAATGTAAAAACTTTTTCAAAAAGTGTTTGCATTTGCATCAAATCCATGACCGGCAACCTATCCTTCAGGAACTCCATTATAGATTCAAAACAATCGCATTCAAGTATTTCCTTAGAATACATGTCCAACAATACAAGTGATACCCGAAATATGGCTTCAATTCCCATCAAAAACAGGATATCTGTTTACAAAATGTATTAAATTAATTAGTATTTTACTAAAATTGAGTGTTAATTAATTGGTTGTTTTACGGCACCAACCAAATAGTCTGGTCACGAATGAGATGGCAAATTGTGACGCAAAGAGAGTCAAAAACCAGGGGGCAGAGTATAAGGTGGGTGTGATATCATGGATCTCAAAGTGATGATAAAGAGATCGGTTGTAATCGTATAATAAGCGCGTCAATTGATAAAATTGCATCTAATTTTTTAAAAAATTAATTGTAATTATATATAGTATTATATTGTAATTTTTATTTTAACAAATAGTCATTTATTTAATAAGTATTTAAATACAATGAAAGCGTGCATTTGTTTTATAAAGCAAAGACCTTATATTAATTGATTTTATGTTTTTATATAATCTTTTGCTAAAACAATATACCGGTATACTGTACACTGTACAGTACTTGTACTGTATATATGTATATATAATGTACTATATCTTATAAATAAAAATCAAATTAATCATTTTATTTAATAAATATTTCTATTATCATTTCATTAGGAAATATAACAAAATTAAAAAACAAAAAGCATATTATTAACAATAATTATGAGTTAAATTTCAATTACATCACTGTTACTATGATTTTGATTGTATTGATAAAAATAATACATACTTGAAGTCCATCCATATCTGGTTTATATTGTTTTCTCAGTTGTCTATTCATCAAAATATATTTCATCATTTCATATGAATCGTCTTCATTCAGCTATTTAAACATAAAAACATAAATTTAATATAATTTACACTCTTATATAAGTATTAACTTACGTGAAGTAATAGTATTCCCGCAACAAAACTCAATCCTTGACAGTATTCAACTTCCTTTAAATATAATTTTTATTAAATTTATTAATTAGTAGATTTTTAGTGTTAAATTAATTTGTAGTTTAATTACTAAATATACACATATACTACCTTATCGTAAAGGGAGTATGCTTTAAGTATATTAAACAATGATAACTGTCCAGTTCCCAATGCTTGTGCATAATAAGCAACTTTGGGAAATGTCCGACCTATTAATAATATTAATATATTATGGTTTCATTATTATTACCGATAATTTTAAAAAACAATATTTTAATCTATATAATAAAATCATATTATATTGTATAATATAAATAAATTGCTATTGTATTTGCCAATAACAGGTGCAATAATTAATGGGTATATTAAGTACTAAACACACCTCTTATAAGATGTATTAAGTAATTTTAAATAATAATATTTTAAAACAAGTGAAATACAGTTAGGAATTATAAATAATAAATATTTTATTTTGAGTTTGATTTTGATTTTCATGCTTATATGTTAATGTTGTATATAACGAATTAATATTAAATAAACAAATAATCAATTTGATGTCGCAAATAGTTTATTTTGCAATTAAAACGTAATAATTTTCAATTATTATAGATTAGATAAATTTTGAGTTTAAAATCCGGTATAGTTTTTATAAAGTACTACAAATCATAATATTATATAATTTACTTTAACTCACGATTAGCCTCAGAGAAAGTTATATCAATATATTATATGGACTAACACTAGAAAGAGAAAATAATAGATGAGAGGCACCTATTAATTGCTCATTTGTTTTACCTGATATTGCATTGCAAGCGTGATATTACTTTAATATAAGTTTTCAATATAAAACATTTTAAATACAGTCATTTGCATTGTACTAAATATTTTTTATACTGAATCCTTAAGTGAATTATTTTTCAACTATTTATAGAATTTCCGGATTCTTTCTTTTTTCTCAATATTTATTAATAATAATTTTAAAAACTTTTAATTTAAAAATATCAAAAATATAATTATTTTTATAGACTAATACATTTGTTAATTTTTAAGATCTATTAAAGCTATGTAATAACATTTTAAAAAATAATGGTATTAATATTGTATATATTACAAATATTATATCATAAATATTTATTATATCATATATAAATAAATAATATAATATTTAAAAATAGCATATTTACCATAAGTACTGTATATTGTGTATAAAATATTAATAATTTGTACTTCAATCACGAGTATTCGTGAAAATTAATTCTTAAATTTATTTGTATTCATAATTAAATAATTCTATTTTAAGTAAACTTTTAATATTTCAAAATATTTATATAAAATATTATTAAACGGCTTAAATCATAACAGTGTTTAAAATTTCAATTTGATAATCTAATACTACAGTATATTCATGTTGTCAATTAATTTTTTGCCATTAAGTAAACTTAAATTAGATTTTGGCAATATAAAGTTATTATTTAATTTTGATATATTACAGTATTTATAATACCCACAATACTTTTTTTTGTATTATATTGTAATAACTATTGTAACTTTGTTTAATAAATTAGCAAATATGCTTTAAACAATTTATGCAATACTAGTTATACAAATAGTTGCATCAATATTGCAATCATATTTTTAAAAGCTATAAATATTTATCAAAAAAATATATTATAGAATTAAATCTTATTTTTATGTTAAAACTGTTTTACAAATAGATACTTTAAAATAGTAAATAACAAGTTAGTCATTTTTACAACAAATATGTATTATTTAAAAATTAACATTTGATATATTCCCTTATATAAGACATACTCGTATATCATATTTTACAATATTTTTAGAGACCACACAAACTATTGATATTAACTTCCCTAAACCCCTATTGCTTTGTTGTATTTATTTGTTTCATAAAACAGTCATATAAATTATGATATTTATAAATTAATATCACAAAAGTTATTCAATTTTATATATAATACTCTATTCATGTGATATTAAGTTAATCTTGATCAATTATTTGGAAAATTGTACAATTTTAATCAATTAAAATAAAATAATATACTTTTTAAAAATACAGTATAAATTTATATTATAAATATTTCTAGTAAATACTTATTTCATTTAATATTTTATAAAATATTACATTATATTTCCATAAAATTGTATAAAAAGATAAACACAATTCATTAGGACAGGGAGTGAGTTAGAGAGGGGTCTACGATGTCTTCCTTAATCACATATTGAATGTTAGTGATCACGATCTGCCGGTGCGGATCACTATCTTTAGAAATATGTTTTATTTCTATCTAAATATAATGAGCTTTCCATTGGAGACACAAAAAAAATCAAGAGATAGAGGAATTCATTTTATGTAATATTATTTTATTATTTTTATGTCACGTTTTGAATTAAAAGGCAATCACTATCCTTATACCACACCTCTCACACAAATTTCTGGCACATCTTATATCATCTCTTTGTTACTCTAAAAATAAGGACAAAAATTATACTTTAAATCCAACTCTAATATAACTAAGAATTAGATATTGTTTTGTTGTTACCTAATTGTTGGACAATGGGTCTCACATTTAAAAAACCATTATAAAAATAACTTTATAATATAATCTTGGTACTTAAATTATTATTTAAACTAATTACTTAAGTTAATAAACTATTTCATTCTAAAAAATATTGATACAAATATAGTATAATTTATTTCATATTTTTGTCACTAAAAAATTAAATCTTATTTTTCTACACTTAACTAATGCTAATATAATATAATCTGGTTATAAGGGATTTTCATTTAGTTGTATAATTTATTGATTTTAATTATAAAATAACCAATTTTTAGTGCTATACTGTTTCTAAAAAATCTTAAGCATAACTAAGATTATAATCAGTTTATTATTTAATTATATAACTGGCACTCAATGTATGTCATAGTTGGGGTTAACTCCGTGAGAATGGGTCAGCAATAGGGATGTACCGAAAACAACTAAGTTATGGCTTATACTATATATATTACAGTATATACTGTAATATACAGTATTATTATAAGTTATAAATATAATAAATTGAAAGTAAATGTCTCACGTTATTACAAATTTAGCACAAATTACATGCAAACTATAATATTATATATTTGTTTTATTTATAGTAAATTAATTATAAATATAAACAACAATAGAAATTATAATTTAATTACATATATTAAATTTTTTTTGTTAATATTTATTCACAATACAAACTACATTATTTAAAAATACTGTGTGAATTATATATATTTCATCTAAAATATAATTAGAAATTTATTTTAGCTATTTTTGTAATAAACTTCTCATAAAATAATTTAATAAAATTTATAATATAATATTATGATAGAAAATTCTAAAAATTAAAATTAAGTTAAATCAAAACACAATAAGATTAAACATAAATAATATGCAAATCTTCGTATAATATTTATTATTATACTGTATTTGATGCTTATTTTGTTTGGTGTTATGATTAATCACGCAATCAAAACATTCATATTCGCATAAATTGTTTGTATGGTATAGTCAGTCATCACTTTATGTTATTATAATAATAATAATATAATCTATGGATAAGTATTAAGCATTTATTGTCCTTATTTTTCTCTCTCACACATTCATATAGAAAATACATTTTTATTGTGTGTGAATGTCATTTAAAACATATGATTATCAGTTAAACCATTGCTTATATTATATGTTTAGTTCATATTTAATGACCACACGGAATGACTTTTAGATTAGTTTTTTATATAAACATTACAAATAAGTTTTATTTTTCTAATATGACTTTATAAGTGCTTTAATCATTCACTTCTAACTATTATTATGTAATGTTTACTTCAAACTTTTGTTATACACAATGAAATTACTGGTTGACCACAATAACTTTTTATGTACCATATATTTTGTATCTTATATTTCTTTGGTTTAAAATACAATTTAAGTTTTTTTTTTGTTAATGTGGCATTAATTTAACTTTATTGCAAATTTTTTGAGTCTATAATGTGCTTAGAAATATTTTTATGCAATTTTATCATTCATATTATTGTCGAAAATTTCCTGTGCATTCAAAGGTATAATCAAAACATTAAAGTTTTAAATACTTAAATATTTTTAGATATTTTTATTATGTCTAATAAATATCAACACAAAGAAAGTTCCGATTTTATGCCATTTTAACAACAGTTGTGTGAGAAAAATCACTAATATATTATGTTTGCATTTATATAGTTATTGTTCGCATCATTCATTCAATTGATGTTTCTTAAAAAAACATTGTATTAAAATAATCTCAATATTAATATTATCATAAAGAAATAGCAAAAAAGTTTAGATAATCAATATTCATTGAATTTCTTTATATTTAATTTTATCTACAATTGCTTGCATGAAAATAAATTTACTCGTTCTAGTATTTAATTACTTTTTAAATTTTAAAATATATGCAATACTACAGGTATAAATTCAATTAATAATGTACCTAAATAACATATAATAAAACAAATCAAAATTAAGTTAAATAGAAAAATAGATGAAATTATACTAATAACAATTACTAATTATGTTTGAATAACATGTTATGCTAACCAAAAAATTTACTAAATATTATAAATAAGTAACCAATAGATTAATTTTTCAAAAGTATTTGAATTATTGTATTATACTAAACATAATCAATATAATTAATTCGTGAGAATTTAAACTAAAATAAAAGTATTGCGAAAATTATAAATGCATTTTTAAATGATATGCAAATAAATGGATTAAATTAAAAGCAATAAACATATAGAAAATTATAATAATTTCAAAATTATACATTGGGATCACTTTGTAGACTGATATATTATAAGGAAATGTTCAAACGTTTTATAAAATACAATATCTTTAATACTATACTCTTTCACTTTAGGCTATTCTTAATAAGTTATTTGTGGACAACTTTTAAACTAAACTTTTATATCTTATATATATATATATTATAGTAACATACAAAAAGTGTGTATATAATATATAAAGTATAGATATATAGGATTTATACGATAAAATTACATTACATAAGTAGTATAAGATATATACCTGTATACAGTATATATACTTAAATATAGCACCACTTAATAATAAATAATAAATGATACATAAAATGCACCAGTATTTTATGAAATTCAAATTATGTATTCCCATTTAGTACACATACCCTAACCATATCCTACTTATTTTATAAGAAATAAGATGACAAACGGATTTAAATTTTCGCTAAGATATACAGTAATATCATATAATATATTTAATACTTACATAACTAATTCATGCCATGATTTTAATCTTAATTAATTTTTTATTTGCAGTCATTACTTATTCATAAAGCGTTATATATACTATAAATTTATATATAATATATATTAATATATTATTTATCTAATATCTCCCGATAATAGCGTCGTTTTCTTATAGTTGACACCCATTTATAATTAATAGCATTAGTATAGTATATTTACATTTTACCTATCTTATTTTTGTCTAACAACTAAATTGAAAATATTATACTTTCAACATAATTATAATTATGTTAATATTAGTTATGAAATAATTAATATTTATCAAAAATATAGTTGATAACTATAAACATAAATTAATATATAATTTATATATTGGTTACCAAAAATTAAAAACAATAACATATGTCACGAATTTTGTTGATTAAATGGTATAATTCAAAACGTTTACATAAAAATCTCAATATTGTATTATTTAATTTGTATTGTAAATTACAATTTATAATATCATTATTGATAATTATGCAATTCTCTTAAACTATATTTATTAATAATAAATATAACTATTAATGTATTAAATTGATTAAATCGAGCAAAGGTTATCTATAGGTTAACTCTATAAATATGTATTTCCAATCAAATTTGTATCATATAATTGTTAAACCATATACTACAGTAAAATTTAATTAGTAATATTGAAAGTATTACACTAAACAATATGTTGTAAAAATATTGAAAAGTATTTAACCTATTTTTTATAAGCATAATAATAATATTATTAATTTTAATTATCTAAATAATAATTTAAAATCATCTAATTTATATGATTTTAATTATAAAATAAAACGATTTTCAAATTCGTAATATACACTAAAGATATATTAAAAAGAAAATTTTCTATAAAGTTTCTAAAAAAGTTTTATCTATAAGATCCCCATTTAATTTTGTTCTTTCGATATTTGTTATCACATAACAATACATTAGAATTATAAATAAATATTATTATTACTATTTTACATAATATTCAAAGTAAAAAACAATTCTTTTAATTACAACAACTAAAAATATAATTGAATTATGAATAAAATTTTACAAAACTATAATTATATTAAGTTTATATATAATGATTATGTTATACAATAGTGTAATGTATATTATATATCATTAATACATTAATAATTAATTACAATAGCAGCTATAAAATTAAAATTGCCGGTAAGTGGTATCAATGATAACTTTGTCATACATATATAATATAACTAATTTAACAGATATTTTATAATAATTTTGAAAATTTATATCAAACAATAATTAATTCATAATTATTCATTTAATATGTACTAGTTTATTTGTAAGATCTAATTTTATAAAGTTTAATTTTATTCACTTCAATAGCTAATAGATATGGGGATCCTATAGTATAATAATAAAGTAAAATTGCTTTAGAAAATTATTCGTGAGAAATATTCTTATGGAAATTTATTAGAAATTTCTATTTGTCCATCTCTAACTGTACAATGCTTTAACTTGTATTATTATACACTATTGAATGAACCAATGGAAAGGGTAAAAGTGTGGAACAATTTAATACACATAAAGCTATTGATATATTGCAAGTGATTGCAAAACATTATTGTTAAATGTGTTTTTATGGTAAATAGAGACAGAAAAAATACTTTTTTATATTATTTTTTTCTAAATTTAACTAAAATAATAAAACTACTTAATTTTTAAATTTAGAAATGAACGCTATATTTAATTATTTATTAAACATTATTTTCTTATTTTGTAAAATTATTATTTATTTTATAATTTAATATAATATTATTCATTGACTCTGATTTACTATTTGAATGATCCCTATTTAAATGCAATACTCATTAATTATATACTGTATGTAAATATTATTGTATATTCTTACTCTTATATTACAGTATATTATATTATATTCTTAAATATTAGAAATATAATGTATAATCAAATATACTTACTTTAAACTACATAACTGCCATCTCTTAAATATTATTATTGATATTTACATTATTTTAATATAATTTATGTATATTTAAATCATAATTTAATTAATTAAATAAAATAATGTATATTTATTTAATAAGTACTATATATATATTGTATAATTATTTAATTATGTTAACAATAAGTATGCAAACACTAACCGAGGTCCACAAGAATAGCATGTTGTTGTATAGCTAACTGTCCTAATAGTTGTCGATATGGGATGTCATGTATAACTTGTTGGTTATTGTCATCAGAATTACAAGTTTTGTAATAATGGGCCAAAAATAGCCAAACATCCGCTTTCTTATTTCTGGGAATTCCTATTATTAAATAAATAATTAAAATATATATAAATAATAAGCTTTAATAACCTTTAAATTAAAAATATTATTCAAATATAATTAAGTTGACTGACCCAAATGCACTGCATTCAAAATATGATCATATATTAGAGGTTTGTGATGTTTGTGGTCATCGAGTATAGTGTCCCAAGTTTTGGTTGCATCCCAGAGCTGAGTGGCATCACTAAAGTTGGGTATCTCATCGTAATCCAGTTTCAAGCGTTTGTCATTAGTTATACTTTGATAGTCTTTATGATAAAAAAACAATTAATTTAATAAACAAATATAAAGTTTGAATGCAAACCCTGAATCTTTTGATTTTGTTTATTCATTTTATTCAAAAGCATTTGTTGTCTGATAGCCGATCGCCACAAATCTCTGATCTCTTGTTTTGATCGGTGTTTGTGACCACTCATAACATTCATTTCGTATGTCTTATTGGTATTAAGTAACAAATTTGAATTGTTATGTTTGCTACTATTGGATGTGCTGTGTATGCGATTAAATATCGATTGTCTCCAAGAAGATGATTGTGAGTCATCTTTAGTACTGCTATCTGTCTTGTCATCCAATTTAGTTGTTTTTTGTACTGATTCTTCGTTAAGCTTAGACTGAGAACCAACTTTCATAAATATATTAAGTAATGGTTTGGGTCGGGTATGTGAAACAGGCAGCTTCTGGTGAAGAGCCAGAGATTCGCTTCTAATCATAATTTTTTCATCGCTATCTTTTGCTAATTCTGTTATCTCCGATAGTGTATTACTTCGAGGTCGTATTTGATAATGTAATGGTGAATCTTCTGTATTAGATGATAATTCATCTACCGGTGCTGATCGCTGTGAATAACTGGGAGAACTAATCAAACTTTCAGATGACTCGTTGCGACTTAACTGTTATAATAGCAATTAACAATCAAATTTATAAAAACATATCATTTAATTATTTATTTTTTTAAAAAAAAGTTCAAATATAAAGTTGATATAAATTTGTAAATTGCTTTTTACTAACTTTCAATATTAATTAAATATTAAATGTCTTACATATCTCGCTCTAAATTTGGTTAAATAACTATTGTCCAGTGTTTCTGATCGCTTCCTTATATGTGATATCCTATTTTTGTTATTATCTACCGGTGTCTTAACATGCAAACAATCCAATTGTACCAAACGTGCATTATATCAAATAGGGTTAGAATTGCATGCATAATCAAGCAGATATTTATAAGCAAAATGTATTGACATAACTGGCCAAATACTATATTACAAAACTTACTTTGAAAATAGATTCAAATGTGTTGGAAATGGATGTTTTGGCCTTTTCCTTGAACTTATCCAACGATAATCTCTTTTCTAACACAGACTTCTCCTGAAAGCCCGAATGTTGGTGTTTGCGTTGTTTTTCTTCACAACATTGCTTGAGGACAGTCATGTATAGTTTATTTTGTTGGTAAACCGTTTGACACATAACTCCATGACATTTACGGAGACAGTCTTCCCGATCTCTAGTGGTCAGCTCTTCCATACGGTTGACAATAATAGAGTGGGCTTTTTCGGCGCTCACACCTTCCATATCACAGCATAACCTATGAAACCAAAGCATAGGACATGTCTCACAAATGTATGTATTTCTCTGTTTACTTGATTTATAAGCGTTACTAAAGGCCTGTTTCAATGAATACATTATCTCTGCGACTAATTTGTCCGATTGACACATAAACACATGAATTACATAAGACTCGGGTGTGTTAAGTGTCGATTTGCGACATACTATACCAAAATGATCGCTATGTTTGATGCCTTGACAACAATGGGATATATTGCTAAATGTCTTGTTTAAGACTACTTTATGTTTATCAGTACTAATAAGACAGAGCTCTGACTTTCCGATTAGAAAAAGCATTGTTTTGTTTTGATAGCGTATACTTCTGGGTCGCGACAGATCCAGTGATCCGCCCGAACCAACCCGAGAGCGACAAATGTTTCCAACATTTTCACCCAAAGGAAGTGATAATTGCTTTTGTAATGTCAATTCATTATCTCCACTAACAGATCTTTTTCTTTCTGGTGATTGAACAGTTGAAAACATATTGTCAGTGTCAGTGTCGGGACAGTCAATGGTTTGTGTGGTTCGCTTTTGGTAATCACGAAACTCTCTTAATAGTGAAACTCTAGTTTCCGCGTCAAGACTTTGTGTATTTGGTATGAGTGTTGTCGGCAGTAAAAGATTAGTCGTTGTTTGGGTTGCAAATACCGGTGTCTCAATTGGAGGAACAGGTGATACGCTAGTACTCGATGGCGAGCGTTCACTACCCTCTTCAACCACTTTAACTAAGAAACGTCTTGTTGTGGGCAGTGTTATGGTGTGTTCAACACCGGCTGATGTTTGTGTAGTCGATGGCAAAGTTGTTTGATTAGCACCAGTCGTATCGTTTGAATTCAATTCTTTATCATTATTGTCTGAACTCTTATCCATAGATCCATTGTTAGTATTAATCTTATTTCTTTCGCTATCCAATTGTTTAAACTTTTCAATGGCGTTGTCAATAACCTCTGGAAGAGCTCTTTTTTGAGACGTCTATTAAATATCGCAATATATATATATATTAAATCGTTTTGTAATAAAATACTGATATAAATGCAAATATCAATTGTCATGACTTACTCTAATACTGCAGACATACATCACTTCATATTGATTACAATAAGACAATATAGTGTCCAATCCGGAAGCACTTCTAGTTTTTTGCAATCCCTGAGCAATCGTTTGTTTGTCAACCGATTCTTTGCGTGATTCAGATGTCGGAACAAATTCAGAATATGAACCGCAAAGACCAAAGTTATAGCCCAACATCTTATCCAAACAATTCTGTTAACTATTTTTCAATTCAATTCAATTAAACAAATATTCATTTAAACATTTTATTTTTTACAAATAATATTAATTATAATAATATATAAACTATAGAATAATTTTTTAATTATAATTTTCTAAAAAAATCAAAATTATTATTATAATAGTATTTACTATTAAAATATTATATAAATAAATTGAAAGATTTGCTAAATAGAAATAGGACATGGACACAATGTTGGACACAATGTTGGACACAATGTTGGACACAATGTTACATACAATGTAAATATAATATATAACGTCAATATATCAATGTACCCAACAGTCAAACCACATAATATTATTAGTATTTATATAAACTAATAGTGAAGTTGTTATCAAATGTCGTAATATATTGTTTAAACAGTCCTTGAATTGCCTAAAATATAGTGTTTTATGTGCGCAAGGGTTTGATCGGGTCATGTATTTTGTATCACCAAAATCTATATAATGTCACACAATATCTATGTTTTATCTAATTTTGTTTTAAAAAATTTTCCTAACTTTTGATGCAAATAAGTAATTTGATGAATAAACTTGTATTAAAAATATTATTTTTGGCAAAAGTGTTCAATTAGTATAACAAGTCATTCATATGACAATTATATAAGAATCGGAATTACAGTATAATAATAAAAGTTTGTAGTTATAGACTGTTCGGTGCCAACACATCCAAACACATCCAAACACATCCAAACATATCCAACACATATCCAACACATTCATGTATATGTAGTCTATATTTAAATATAAATACCATTATAGTAATTACTATACATTATTATGGAATATTCTATAGTATTACTTGTAATTGAATGTATATTTTAAGAGCAAATTCTAGTTAAATCTCGTTTATCTTTATTTTTAACTTTAGTTTTTCGTAATCACTATTAGGCTAACAAATTATAAACAAACAAAAAATGAATTAATTAATAAAATATAAAATTTTCATTTAAATGTATTATAAAAAATAATGCACCTTAGTATTTTTATAAGTTTAGTTTTATTAAATAAATATATATTAATATTGTAAATTAAGTTAAAATTGATTAAAATTAAAGTTCTTTTATTGAAATAATTAAAAACTTTAATTTAAGTCATTTTACTAATTTGAACTGATCTTCAACATATTGTTTACTATTTTATATTATTTTTTAATATATTTTAACAAATAATACTGTATTTATTAGGATACATATTATTATATTAGCTAATTAAATGATTTATTTAATTTATGATAATGTAAAGAGTATTCAATAAAGTGTATAGCAATCACATGACAAAAACTGGTTAGAAACCAGTACATTAATAAATTATATCTTATATTTGTAAAAGGGTTTAGTATAAAATTTTCCATACAATAGTGTTTTTATAAATAATTAGTCATTTAATAGTCATAAAATACTTATAATTTAATAATAATAGTTACAAATTAATAATAATAGTTATAAATTAATAATAATAGTTATAAATTAATAATAAGTTATAAATTAATAATAATAGTTATAAATTAATAATAAGTTATAAATTAATAATAATAGTTATAAATTAATAATAAGTTATAAATTAATAATAATAGTTATAAATTAATAATAAGTTATAAATTAATAATAATAGTTATAAATTAATAATAAGTTATAAATTAATAATAATAGTTATAAATTAATAATAAGTTATAAATTAATAATAATAGTTATAAATTAATAATAAGTTATAAATTAATAATAATAGTTATAAATTAATAATAAGTTATAAATTAATAATAATAGTTATAAATTAATAATAAGTTATAAATTAATAATAATAGTTATAAATTAATAATAAGTTATAAATTAATAATAATAGTTATAAATTGATAATAATAATAATTAAAAATAATAATTGCAATAAATATAAGTAATTTAATTAAAATGAGTGAAAATATAAGTAATAATATTAAAGTGAATCATATTTATACGGAAGAAGAGCGGTTTTGGATAAATCATTATTATAAAAAATTTGAAAAACAAAAGGATGGTAATTCAAGATTTAAATATGTTCAGGATAAATTTAGTGAACATTTCAAAACAAAACCTCCACATCGTATGACAATTCAAAGATTAAATAAACAATTTGATGATGAAAAAACTCTCCAACCTAAATATAAAAAACCTCACAAAAAAACAAAATTAACTATTGAAAATATTGAAATAGTCAAAAATGGTAAATATATTATTAATTGGATCAGATGGTAGTGCATGTAAAAGTAAATATCATTATATAATCTTAAAATATATTATAATTAATATAGGAATTAAAACTTACAAATCTGTGCGAAAAATTCAAGAATATTTAAAATCCATAAATATTGAATTGAGTGTTGGATCAATTCATTCAATATTAACAAAACAATTAAATTTATTTCCTTATAAAATTCAAATTGTACCAAAATTAACACAAATATCAAAACAATTACGTATTGATTTTTGTAATTTAATGTTAATTAACTTAAATGATGACAATAATTATTTGGATAATGTTTGGTATGTTTATTTTATTTTATTTATTTTTTAAAGAAATGTTTAATCAAACCTCTATTTAGACCCGAAGAGCATAAACTGCAAACAATGTTGTCTTTAACTTCTTTAATATATTCTAATTCCTGTTCGACTTTGACTTTCATTTGATTTAGGTTTTCAGACGAATGCAATTATCACAAAAATGGATATGTAAACAAACAAAATATGAGGATTTGGGGAACAGAAAAACCAGAAACGGCAGTAGAAAAACAGGCACATCCCGAATATTTGACCGTCTGGGTGGCCTGGAGTGTAAAATATGGTTTTATTGGGCCGTATATTTTTCCAAAAGAAAAAGGAAAAAAGTATACAATTGATGCTGATAAATATCAGTCATTAATTGAAAATTATTTTATACCTAATTTAAAGTTGAAGACAGGTGATAATTATTGCCATCAAATTTTTATGCAAGATGGTGCAAGTCCTCATACAGGTTTGTTTATTTTATACCTGTATATCTACCATTATAATCAAAATTTATTTTATTTAATAACTTTAAAATTATTGGTCCGATTGATCTAAATTTATAATATATATTAAAATATATCAATTAAAATATTAATTTCCAAAATTTGCTTAACCGCGCCTTTTTTATTTATATATTAGCATTTTCAACATTAGATTTATTGAGACATCATTTCTCCAATCGATTAATAAGTCTTAAAACCGACACTCAATGGCCAAGTCACTCACCCGATTTAAATCCACTTGATTTTTGTTTTTGGGGAGCAACTAAAACTGAGATTTATGATTTTCAAAATCCTATAATTAATTTAGACGATTTAAAATCAAGAATTATAAATGCATTTTCTAAATATAATCAAATTAATTTTAATTCTATTATTGAAAATTTTATATATAGGCTATATATGTATAGCCAGAAATGGGGAACATTTTGCTAACATAATTAAATGACGTATTTTATATATAAATTTGTTTACCATTTATTTGTTTGCCACAAACTATATTGAATACTCTATATATACTATATTATTGTTAATTTTAGTGATTGTTATTATTAAAACTACGAGTTTTATTAATCACTGATTAATAATTTAAGAGAAATTATCGTTTTAACAATAATAACACTTTTCTTACTTATGAAAGCAACACATGTATTAAGTAATTAAAAATATTAATTTATTTAACATTAAAAGTACTTTTGTATTCACATGTTTGACACGTGAAAAGTAAGCTATCATTGTAGACAAAGATGTGCACTAATTATATATTATTTCTAACAAATAAGTATTTATTTATAACTCAAAAATAGCATAATTTTCGATAACATCTTTATATTAAACTATAGTTACTATTAAATGATGAAATGAGTATTTTAGCTTTAATTCAAATGCATTTTCATTTTATACAATGTTTGCACTCAATTGTTAGTACATTAAAGACTCAAAAGTCATATTTAGAAATATACGAAATTATAAATGTCACTATTTTATCATCATTTATTTGATTAGCATAGAAGTATCAAATATATACTTTTCCAGCAGAATATTTTTCAATCAACTTATTAGAAAAAATACAAACCATAAAACTAAGTCAACTTTTTTCAACACAAATAATATGACTTACTGTACTTATACAGTATTACATCATATAATATACTGTAAAGATTAGTACAAGTATTTAATAGAATAAGTATTAATAATCTTTAATTAAGTTTCATTTTATTAATATTGATAATACATTTATGTACAAAAAATCTCTTATAAAATGTTTATCATTTATTTGTTATATTAAATTACTTATAAATTCACAAAATACTTAATTTAGTAGTTTAAAAGTTTTTATTTCTTTAAATATAAAAATATTAAATAATGTTATATAAACATTGAGAAGTTAAATAATTTTTATATATTTGAACTTCATATAAAATAAAAATATATTAATATAAATATAAAAATGAAATGAATAATAGTAAATTTTAATAATTATTTAAGTGTTACATAATTAAAATTTTTTATACCTGTAAGAATATACAATATTTTAATTTATATATATATATATATATATAGCAAATATATTTTATAAACATATAAATGTACAAAAAATTTACATCTAAATATTCTTAATATTTTAAAAATCATTTAAAACCTTAATATTTTGTGAAAAAATTATAAATCAGTCAATTCAAATTAACTATTCAATACAGATATACAATATTTATTGATATGCAATGCTAATTATATATTTAGTATTGTGAGTTGACTTAATCTACTGTATAAATAGACAATCACTGATACTATTTGAGTAATACATTTGGATGTAATTATAGTCACAAAAAAAATCAAAAATTGTTCAATATTTTGTTTATAAACTATTAAATATATATTAAATAGCTTTTTTACTTTAACGACAAATTTAATCAACTGATAAGATATGGAGATAAATATTTAATAAACTTTTTAATAAAATACACTACTATTTTATCAATGTTATTAATACTACTAATAATAGCAACATTACTAAAAATAGTTTTATACTAAAATTTTATACAATTTAAAAAACTTTTGCAATTGTAATTTAATTCATATGAATTATATTACGAAAAAATAGTCTACAAATACAGTTGTGTGGGGAATGTTTATACCGTATTCATAACATGTAATTAATACATTTTTTAAGTCTCAATTTTGGTAATTCACAATTATTGATTAGCAAAAATATGGATAAATATAGTCAATTATACCCAATGTAACTAATAATCATGATTGCTATTGTTAGACTCAGACATCAACTAATAATTAAGATACAGTAGAGAAATTGATTCCCGGGTAATACCATTTTATTGTGCACCGAGAGATCAATGGCAGTACTTCAACACAAATGTTTACAATAAAAAAAATTAAATTACGGTAATAATAAAATTGTTAATATTCGTGTTTTACGTGATTCTTATTAATTAATGACTATTTAAACAATTTCAAAATAATAATTTTGAAAATATAGTTTATATCTTTATAAGACATCAGAGAGGATCAGTTAAATAAATTGTGAAAATATAATACACAATGATAAAAATTAGTTGTTATGTATGATAATTTATAATATGTTAACATTTAATATAAGTCCCAATTTAACATTTTTCAGTCACCATTTTCGACAATTTTAACCAATTCAAGTCCAGAAAACATTTGGCCCCGACTTAGGTATATAAGTCACTGAAGATTGATCTGGAAGTCCAATGTCTGTTCCTTTAGGAGACAGTCTTTCATTTGGTTTTTTAGTTCCATATAAACGATTGTATTCTCGATCCAAAATACTTTCGACACTATTTTGTGTAGTTATTGGTGTCGTCGGTGTCGTTGGTTTCGACATTTCTTTAGGCAAATCTATTTCATTAGGTAAAGGCATTCTTGCCTTACCTTTAGAGCCTTCACCGACATTTGGCACGCGTTCATACAAAGGGTTGACAATACCCGTCTTAATCATAGCCATTGTTGGTCTAAAAACATATTCATAAGTTTTTTCATCTTTTGTAAAGCAATTGTTAACCTCTTGCTTATCGTGTTTATCATGACTACTAAATTTAGAAGTGGGTTTAGGAACAGCTGGTCTTGAAGGTGGAGTGGCCGGCAATGGAGGAACAGTGGAGCTATTATCATAAGACTCGACCATTTTAGCTACAAAACCTAGCATTACATTGTCCCGTCTGTTAATGGTTTTGGAAGTTCTTGGTAGTGGACGGGGAGGTTGTGTTGGACGAACACTACTATTTGAAGATATGGATGAGTTATTGCAAGAGTCAACTATTTTTTGCTGTTCACCGCCCGATCGCTTAGTCTCCGTATAGATGTCTTTATAATTATTGTCATTCGTAACCATCACAGGCACTAAATCTGGTTTATTATCGATAATTGTTTGCTTAATCATAGAATAATCGTCTGAACATTCTTTGGATGAAATTATCTTTTTAGGTGTTGTTTCCTTTTCATTCTTCATCATTACAATTGATTGTTCCTCATTAGGAAAGGGATGTACCTTAGCGTAAGGCAATTTAGGTGAATGCAATCCCAACGGCTGTTTATTTAATGAATTAGTATTACTATTGCTATTGATTTTATTATTAGTGGCAACAGTTTTGTTATAAATATTATTATTTCTAATATTATTAATAATATTATTATTTATATGAATAGTGTTTGCAGTGTTTTGTTTAAATACATAAAATAATGGCACAGAAGGTGAGGGAACGTCTGTTGTTACTGAAAGACCACGACTTCGTGTGTTCAGAGTTTTAATGTGTGATTGAGATTCATGTGATATACTTCTATTAAATGCTTCTCTTTTATCTATATTATTGACCAAATCTTCGATACGAATTGGTGGTTGACTCGCAGTAGATGAAGAGCCACTAATTGTAGCCCTACGACGCACCGGGAGTTTTGGTTTTCGTGGATACAATTGATAGACTGGTTTCGAGGCTGACTTATTATTTTCATCGTTGGGAAGGAAAGCGTCATCATCACCATCAGAGCTTGTTGTGGTGGTGGCGGCATTTTTCAAACGACTTCTTGAGGATCGATAGCCAGCTTTGAGGGCTGGGATCTTATATGGCTTGAGGACAATGACCTGACCCAATAAATTGCTATGTCGTGGTCTCTTCTTAATAGTTAATATAATTTCTGTTGGATGTTCTTTCATAGAATTGACCAGTTTTTGCAATTGCCATCCGACTACTGTTTGATAGCTCACCTGAACGATCTCATCTCCCTCTTCAATACGACCGCATCGGTGTGAAGGCGATTGAAATTTAATGCCACCGACGATATGAATACCAGAATATGACGAATGTATATGCATTCCCAACTCTTCGTCCGGTTTCTTCTTGACCGTCACGATGTCGAGTACAGCCGGTTGAATGGCCAACGAGTCGTTTAGTTCTTGTACTATATGGTCACAGAGTTCAGCCAATGTAAAGCAACTTTTCATTATCACATTATTAGGTCTCTCCACAAATTGGTCTCTTTGTGATGTCGACGCTAACTCAATACTTAACCTTAAAATTGTTTTGCGCACCGGTATGTAAAGATCTTGGCCTTCAAATGGATATCTATCGATCCATGAGATGAAAGCCTTAACAGAAGCCAATATATCGGAAACGGCAGATAATGTCTGTGTTGACACTCTGTCATCTTTGTCCTTATTATTGTTGTCTTCATTATTATTGTTATTAATAAACTCTTGACTTCGCTTTAATAGTTGATTATAAAGACCGCGAGATTTACAGCCGAGTCTAAGGGCTAATGACTGAAGTGTTTCCGAACCGAAGTTGTAGTGTAAATGTTTGAGAAGATCCACGGCATCTAAGATGAGCTCCTGATGACCCACTTTCTTGACATTCAATTTGTTTAAGTCTTCACATGAAAGCAACAAAAGTTTGCAGCCATTGATGTTGTTATTCAAGAAAAATTCAATGTGTTGTCCAATACAGTCGTCCAAACCCTTTAGCCAATCGGCCGTATTATTGGCCGTCCATTCGGCGACATTAATGTATGCCATTTATTATACAAACTATTACCACAAACAATGATCACTTAGATTATAGTCAAACACTTCAGCTACTAATCAAACTCATTGTATAACTTATATCACATATAATATACAATAAATAACTTTTTATAACAATATTGTTGAACACATTTAATACAATTAGCCGTATATTTAATAATAAATTAATATAAAGTTATTTCCACTAATAAGACAAACATTGTTTCGTTTCAATCAATGTAATCAAAAAGTAATGTTATTATAATAATATTATTATTGAAATTAAAATACTGTATGTTTGACAACACTGTAAAAGACAATTAAATGGCACCACTTGTAGAGTGTATTGCTATGTCTGCACAGACATCAGTGTCGCCTAAACTACAAGTGATAGTATAGTGGGAAAGGGACTCAACACTTGAGCTAACAGTCAGCTTATGGATAGACTGGCTGTAAAACTCCCAGTGCTCTCACACTATCTATGAATGTCTTTCACTTGCACTGGTGTTTGTAGAGATCAAATAAGGGATAGGGAGAGAGGTATTACTTATTCAGAGATTCAGGGGATCTCTGATTGAGAGAGGCTTAAGGTTGAGCCCATACACCAAAGCAATACATTGTGTGTACAACGGAAGCCGTCAGCTATAATGGTTGAACCAATACACGACAACCTTCATAACAGTCCACTATTAATACATTGGGTTTCATAAACTTGTTTTCTGGCCATACATTACACCATAAGATATAATGTATTAACAAAAAAAAAGTAGTTCTCATTATAAGTTTATTATTTATTATTAGATTTATTAATATTATGAATATTAGTTGCAAAGTAGTCTCACATCACACCCTCCCTGAACTTAAATGTTATTTTTTATAGCAATCTTAGCTTAAAATATATTTGCAATTTGCAACTCAACTTTTTTCATCAAATTGCATATTAAGCTCTCTCTCTCTCTCTCTCTCTCTCTCTCTCTCTCTCTCTCTCTCTCTCTCTCTCTCTCTCCTCATTAAAATATATGTTAAGAATAAATATAATTTATATAATACTAGAAAATGTGATATTTTATTGTCAAGCTATTGATAATAAACAATATACAGTATTTATAAATTAGATTAATTGTTATAAATAAACATTGATAAAGCACTTAAAAGGTTAGTAAAACATTGATAATACAGTTATCATTCAATGATAAGACAAAATCAAACATAAGAAATAACATTTTTATTAATATTTATTAATTTATTGTTTAATCATTTGATTTATTTACACAATATTTTTGATAACAAATGAAAACATAATTAATTTTATGTGAGAATTATCGATGCATTTCATTAAATAATTAAAATGAAAATTCATTGAATTAAACTTAAATAAATAAAATAATAGTTTGTAAAGTTTGTGAATGAATAAATTATAGTAAAATAATGTCAAATAATGAAAATTGACTTATAATTAATGTCTGGGTACAGGTGTTTTTCAGTGTCGGTGTCATAAATAAGGTGTGTATTCATTGATATAATTACTGTATAAGCAGTATTCATGAAGTTTGAAACTCAAAATATGAATCATACAGTATATAGTATATAGTATATACTGTATATACTATCATATATACACTGAATATTATAATTATTATATTATATAAATGCAATATTTATAGAAATTTCTGTAATAGTATAGATTTATTGTAATATATATAAATGGTTTATAAACATTTTTTTCAGTGTTTAAGTAGCACTGTATCTGTGCAACACATTTACTACGACTGGACATTACAGTATCTGTGCATTTATTGTACAACCATTGACTGTATCGTAGACTGTATCCTACAATTGATGGACCCTTACCCTCACTCTTCCCTATACTATAAAATACCAATTATATACCGACCGAGTGTTTTCACAGTACCAATACTTTTTGTCATCATATGGCTGAACCAAAAATTGGTTCCCAGGCTCTCTGGTCTCACTGTATGCGCGCGCTGTCAGTCAAGTCATCCTTTCCTTTAAAAACATTTTACAAATACTGTAGTTGTGAGTCACCGGGAGTTACATTTATACGGGCGATATGTTTAGTACAAACCATTGTTAACCCCTAAAGGCGCCCAAAGACGTGGCTTTAAGTCGTGTCTGCTTTTTGTTAGCAGATATACCGTATTGTCTGCCATATAGTATACAGTATTACAGTACAGTATATAACGTGAATTATAAATAAGATTTTTACTCACAAATAGTTGTATATGTGTTTAGAGTATAAATGAGAGATGAGATGGGGAGATGAAAGAGAGAGAGAGAGAGAGAGAGAGAGAGAGAGAGAGAGAGAGAGAGAGTAAGGGAGAAAGGGAAAGGGAAAAGAGTGTGTATTGAATTTGGCAAATGGTATAAAAATAGGGGTCAATAGTTTATATTGAGAGCCAGAATTTTATTTAAATAATGTTAAATATTTTATATACAAATGTGATAATACTATACATAATATATAACCAAATGTTATGAACAAATACAAGAATTTTTGTGCACTTATAAAAATTATATAAATAAATAATTAATCGTATATTTAGTGAATTATTGGACCTAAAATTGTTCTCAGTTTTTGATAATTTCTATTAAGTTCTTTATTTTTCTTTTATAAATTCTCAATTTCTCTATAAAAAATGTTTACTAATATACTAAATTATATATGCTTTATATATACACTATATATACACTGTATATACTTAGTTTTTAATTTATGATATTAATATCATACAGTATTAAATTTTAACATTGTTATTAAAGTTTGCCTTTTAGTACATTGCATTACAGTATCAAACATTATATTTTATGATTTTATATGAATTTAGTAACTTATTCATTATATATATATATATATCTTTCTATATATATATCTTATGGCAACGGATGGGTGGGGTGTTTAGGTACCATTCGTTGAGACTGAACGAGTGAACCATTAAGACACAAATCAATGAGAGAGTGAGTGAGTGAGTGAGGATGAGGTCAATAACAAAGTTTGTTGTAGTTTTTAAAAATAATACCCATTAAATCATATACTTTATAATATCTGTAGACTTTCAATAAATTATTAGTTTCTTACTTTAGACAATCCTTATAGTAATGGCAAGTGTTGTATATTATTATTGAGTGCCACAGTCGAGAGGGCACAGGGCATACATAAAACAAGTTATGGGCCCATATTATGTACAGTGAAATATATATATATATATATATATATATATATATATACGATGGTGTGGGGGTCACCATCCAGTTGTGTGCCATTCAATATACAGCATATATACTGTATATATAATAGTAAAAGTTGTATATACTTTATACCTGTATAAAGTTTTTCATTGCGTGCAAATGCTTATTATTAATAAAATTGAATTTACATTACTATTTGCTTTATTTCCACCACATTATGGTAGAAGTCAAACATATAATATAAATAGAGAAAACAAATGGTATTTTTAGTGAAAATATGACCAAATTTTGGATACTATTATGTTGTTGACTGCCTTCACCTTTGATAATCCCATTTATTTTAAGACAAGTGCATAGATTTATATTCATTTATTAAAAATATACCTAATGTACAGATTCAGTAAAATTGAAAGTTAAAATTATAAATTATTTTCTGGGAACACAAAAAAGTGATTATATATTAGATTACAATATTGTATATTAAAAACCAGAAATTATATACAGGTTTTTCATCATTTACTGATACAGTAGACTAAAAATGATAATTTTGATGGGTTTGGTTTTAGAAATAAGTTTATATACATCTTTGATTTTGACAAGAGGTTTGGCATCAGTGGCACAGGTGGCACATCACATATATATATGATGTATACCTATGCTCAGAGATATACACAAACATTATTTACTGTTTGCAGTCAATTTTGTTACACTATATGACTTGTGTAGTACATAGTGTACTATACAGTATAGTATACTGAGTATATACTGCACAATGTGTATATATATTAAACTAATACCTGTGGTATATAAAAAATAAGGATATATTTTTGGCGCAAAATTTTTACTATTCAATAAATACATGTTTCCGGCTCTCAGTTTAGATCCATATTCTACACCTGTTTGTTATTCCCATTGCTAACGTCCCGCAAAAATTACATTTAAGTGTATAGTTCAGTAATTTTTTCAGTTTCTTTATCATTTGTTGTTGTGTTAGATTAAGCCATAGGTATTACAATATTGTATCCCACCCCTGATGTTAAAAACAACAAATTCATGTATATTTAAGCTTAGCAGTATATATATTTTAAAATATCTATTGGGTTAAATGTATTAATATTTGCAATCAAAAATAATTGCATTATATTGTATATCTATACAAAGTGTTGCAATAATAATAATTTTTATTAATAAAAATGTTTTTCAAATTAGAAGAGCTTTAGTGATGACTTGTAATGAAAAATGGATATAATGTTTGTTTATTTAAGATTTTTATGTTTATTATATAACTGGTTTGATAAACACGTTTATAACTACAAAAATATTAACTTTAAAGATAAATACTGTACTATTTAAGTATAAACTTAACAAAATGTAGTATTATACAATTTTTAATCTTAGACTTATAAATTTAAAAAATAGAGTAATAATGTTAAGTCACACTATCTATAATAAGATACAATAAATATATGGAATTTAAATAATTGAAAAAATTCAAAACATCCGGTTTGTAATTATATTACTTAGACTATACTATAATACCACACAATAGACCACACATTAATGTAATGATAAAGAGTTTGATAACAATAGTAAAGCCGGGAATTCCCTGCAAGAAAAGTAGCGTTTTGTCTAAAATTAAAAAATTTCGCAATGCGTTTGTAATTTAAATGTGAAAGTTTGTAAAACATTTTATTAGAATTTTATAATAATTTAACATTTTATTTTAATATAGAAATCAAAACTAATTATCTAAACAACAATGTGCTACTAAATCACGATAACTATAATATAAATAATTTATTACTAACGATAACATCCGGACGCTCTGCATATTAAAAAAATTATATAACACATACACTCCTTATATTTATTTATTTATTATATATCTAATGTATTTTATCTGACATTTTATTAAAACAACTCTAAAATTGACAAAAACTATTTTTATAGAGAATTTTTCAAAACTTGAGCCAAAATAATATTTTTGAAAAATAATACAAAAGAAAATTTATTTAAAAAGTAGTGAATTCATTACAATAATAG